CTCTCTCTCTCTCTCTCTCTCTCTCTCTCTCTCTCTCTCTCTCTCTCGTGTGTAAGTATATGCGTGTGTGCTCTGTGAGGGCTCAGATGGGACCGCTGGGTGGAAAGGCCCTTTGTGCCCACAAGAGGGCAGCATCCTGAGGGCTTTGTGAGCGCTGTATCTCTCGTTATCGCTGCAGGCTTGGGTCTGGAGAAAGTTATACCGAAACTTTCAAACTGATATCACATCTTATTTCGTGATATTAAAAAAGAAAGACGAAAAGAAAGAAAGAAGGAAGGAAAAAACAGAGAAGTGACGAAAGAAGAGAGAGAAAAAAGAAAAGCAGGCAGCCAGCCTACCCGGGGAGAGTCCTAGTCACATCAAGACTAGGGGGAGGGCTGTTTTAATTGTGGGTTTGGCCGACTGACGACTGGAGTGCCCTCCTCGGCTGTCTTAGTTGTAGCCGGAGGTCATGTAAATCGACCTTAAAAGAATGCATAAGCCATAAATTAAAATAAACCCTCACCCAAGGGCTGATCCATAAGTAGACAATATCCAACCTGGACAAAACGAGCTTCCCTTACGAGCCGACCTAAACCGCATACCCCCAAAGAATAGAGACTAAATGCAAAGTAAGTTTCCCAGCGAATATTTTGTTTTCTTGAAAAGTGTTGGGTTGATTCGCCGTGTGACTGACTGCGATGCCGCAGTTTTCCGGAGTGCTTCTGTGTTAGCCAGGCTCGGGGTGCGGGAGGTCGGGAGGACCTGCTGGGTTTCTGGGCTTCCTAACGCTACCCCCACCCCACCCCCATTTTGGTTTGGAAACTTTGGCTATTTGTGGGGTTGACGCTGGCCGAGGGCGGGCAAGAGTCGAGGATCTCCGCCGCACTCTCCGCCCGGGTGAAGTTTACCGGGAGGAGCTCATAAAGAAAACCCGGGTAGCTAGAAAAGCCGTATGCTCCCTCCTCCCACCCTCACCCCAACACCGCTCCGCCGCAACTTTCCCGGGACCCTGCGCGAGTTGCCTCCAGTTCCCTGCGCTCTCTCCTTTCTCCCCCACCCCTCATTTTTGGACGTGACTTTTTATGATCTTTTTAGGAATAAGCAAACCGAACTCCAAGACAATCCGAAACCCGAGCGCTAATCCGTGGCCCTCTTTCCCCGGACTCTCGGGCGGTGGTGCCGGGCCGGCGGGGGTGTGTGTGAGGGCCCGCCCAGCCCTTCCCGGAGCGGGCTCGGCCTCGGAGTCCTCGCGGCAGACGCACAGCCGCCCGCACGTTTCTTCCGCTCTCCGCGTCCCTGAACCCTGCCGGCGGCCCCAGTCTCTCTCGGCGCCCTGCCGGGGCCCCGCCGCCTGTTGTCCTCCCCGCAGACCGGCAGAGATCCGCCGCTCTGGGGCTCGGCCCAGGCCCAGGGGCGGTGCTGCCACCCGCCCGGGGCCCAGCCCGAGCCTGACGGCTCCCAGAGGGAGCTGCTTTCTTCTCCCTTAAAGGGCCGGTCAGAAAAGGGAAGGGGCTTGTGCAAAGGTTGCCGGGGTTGCTCGGGCACCAAGAAAGGGGCTGCGGAGGACAGATTAGCTCCGTTTCCCGGGCGCTCCGCGGAGCTTTAAGATAAAAAGAGAATCGGTGTGTTTGGAACAGATAAAAGGTAGTTGTTGCTGGCGTGTTTTGAGGTTTTTTTTTTTTTTTTAATTTTTTTAAAGCTCTCTTAGGCTGACCAAGTTTGAAAACGTTTGATTGTATGAATGGCCAGATACCAGATATTGAATGCTGCCCCTATTTGGGGACTAAAAATAAGTCTTCGACTTTGCTGGCGGGGCTGGGATGTTAGAGAGATGGGCTGTCCCCGGCTCCTTCTGTGTGTGTGACCTCCTCTGAGGGCCAAGCTTGAAGTTTCGGTCTCGAGATGGCCCACAGCCGTTGCTGCGGCAAACTGGCCTGGGCTCCGGACCTCCCGTCGCACTGTCAATGGGGCGCTCGATGACGTCCATGTCCGGGGCGCTTGACCCCGGCGCGCACTCTTGCGGCTGGGCTTTTGGCCCTGGCCGGGCGGCCCAGCCAACAACCCAGTGGAGTCGGGATGTGAGAGTGCCCCCTCTCCCTGCCTCCCTAGGGTCTCCTCCCTTCTGCCCTGTTTAGTCACATGCCCAGGTTTCTCCCCGGGTCCCGAGGAGAGCAGACACAGCCCCGCCCAGTCTATTTCTAGGAGGTGGGTTTGGTGAATAAAAAGGTCAAGTGGTCGGGTCCGAGAGCTGATCCATGGCGAGGGGGGACAGGATGGACACCTGGCAAGGACCGCCCCGCCTGTCCCCCCCCCCCATCATCCGCCCGCTCACGACTAGCCTCCCCAGGCCACATTCTTGCGCTAAGTGCTTGAGTCTGTGGGAAAAGCAATCCTGAACCGGCCAAGAGCCGGCGAAGCTGATCCCACGATGGCATTTTGTTTTGAACAGTTGCTGGGGTTGACGTTTCCTCATAAGGTAAGGTGTCACTGGACAGTCGGCTGCCCAAATGCCACATGTATAATTAGCCTGCGCACTCAGCACCTCGTCCCGGAGGCCCATAGGCACGGGCTTGGCGGACCTGGTCCACTCAGCACCGTTCCAGGCTACAGGATTCCTGAGGGAGGGCCGAACCAGCCAGGACAGCCTTTGGGAGGCCCTGGCAAGAAGGAAGACTGTGACAATGTAGCCTTGTCTTTGATTTTTCTCTCGTTTTTTCCCCTTCTCTTCCTGTTTGTCCTCTCTTTATTTTTCGGTTGAGGGCGGACTACTGGTTAGATGGGCAAACCGGACACCAGAGGCAGGGTGCAGACTGAATGAGGAAAGGGGATGCAGAGTAAATCTGGCACTATACTACTCTCCACACCCCGCCCATGGGGGAGGGCTGCTAGTGCCCTTCTGTATGCACTAACCCAGTAGGACTAGCCCAGACTTGGCATTGTATCCTGGCTGGGGTAGGGGTTTCAGCTTCTAGTTGACCTGTTCACCTGTCTTTGTGCTCCCTCGCACACCCACCCTAGAGGTCTCAGCAAATTACTGTCTGTGCCCTGACTGCAGCTTCTGTTTTCCCCCTCCAGGCCTAGCCACTTGGGGCTGCTCGTGTTCACTGTGGGGCGAACCTGGAAATATCTGCTGTCTTTCCCTGTCCTACTCTTGTTCAGCCTGGGGTTTTTAGGAGCAGTGCCTTGTCCTCTCTGTCTGTACCCAGATTGGTGCTTGAGTTTCCTACCTAGCTTCCCAGACCCCAGCTTCAGGTCAGCTTTAGCCTGCACTCTCTGGCAGAGACCAGATTTCTGCAGTCATGAACATGACCTTCCCTCTGTCACCCTGTGCAGTCACCATGGAATTCAGTACTCAGCATTAGGCACTTTCATCAGTCTCCGTTCTTCCCTTGTTTCTAGGCCATTCAGATATTCCTGATACCTACTAGAAGATCCTCTTTATTTTAAAACAAACAAACAAGCAAACATCTTAAACCTTCCACAAATTTAGTGGGATAGGATTAGCTTGTCTATGGCAGCAAGAATGTACCTTTCTGATGCAAGGTGGGGACATGGTTTATTTAGTTGCATTTGCTTTTTATTGAATCAATGAAATATTTCCTCTTATTATAGTAGGGGAAAAGTTATGACTGAATTTTTTTTTACTGTACCAGACCATAAATATATTATCTATATATATTTGAATGTATCTTCCTGAATACACATGTGTGAGTGCATGGGCAGTAGGCCAAATGACATGTAAATTTTTTTCTCCTACATTTTTGAAATCCTCATAAATCAGAGAGATTGTCCCTTTCTAAGACAAGAACAACAACCAACAACCAAAAAAAAAAAATACTTTAGACTCTGAAAGCAAGTAAGTGTGCACTGCACATGTTAGATCTAGTTTATGACCAAAGGCAGTAAGTACCCAGGATCCAGACAAGTGCTAGGTCATTAATTCCTTAGGCAAGTTAATATCTTCTGTTGCTTTTCTCATGTACCACCAACACCTCCTTTTTCCTCTGCTCTCCTACCATATTCCTTTATTTATAGTGGCAAAACTAAATAGTCTTTGTTTATTGTTTATCATATTTATTGTTGCTCTTAATTTTTATTTTGGAAGTAATAAGAAGGAACTTTCTCTTGGTGTATATGTATTTTTTAAAATGCAAAAAACATTTATGGGTATATTATTATGGAGCATGATACAAACTCCTATAATAGTATATTGTGTAAGTAAAATGCTCAACATTATACTATAAGGAAGATAAATGTAAAAAAATTAATTAATAAAGCAGTATCAATATCTATACCTTAAGCTGATTCTATAATGGAATCAGTAACTGAATATCTAGAAGAAATGACATTCAGTAGGAATATTGTCTGCTGAACATTTTTTCATTAGTAGTAGAAAGCAACAGATATTTTTCTTAGTAAGGGAAAAGCACATATTTAAAATATGTTAACATATCTAGCAAATCTTTCTCTTATAAGGCTTTAAGATATATTACTTTAAATACATAAATGATAAATTTTGGTGGCATTATTGAGATTTTATGTCTGTTTCTATTTGACTTCTTTTAGGAATTATTGGGTTATTGGTCATTGATGAATTTTTACACATATCCATCTTATATTAAGGAAACTAGTGACATTTTAAATAATCCTCTTTCAATTAGTACACTAGGTACTGGAATAAATGAATTTTAACAAAGTTTAATATACACTGGCTTTAACCCTTTTAATATTTTCTATACTTTTCAATATTGTTAGGTTATATATCTCTAAGTTTGAAAGAATTCTCTTGTTAGTGAGAGAAGTCATATATACCTTTTCACTATTTACAAACAGCATTCTATAAAAGTATAGTAGAGTACACCTAAAATTTTGATTGATCTAAGAGCTATTTGTTTAAATATAGTTTAGGGGTGCATATATATCAATTGGTGTTTTTGAAGTCAAGTGAAACATTCCATCAAGCTAATGTGCCTGAGAGTACCATATCAGGCACAGACAGGTACTAGAAATGATAAAACACAGATAACATTCAGCAAGATGATTTGCAGATGGGATGTATTATCTGCTGTCATGAGGTTAGATGGGTCATATTACGTTTTTTTTAAAAAGTTAATCTAGGTTATTTCAGAATTATCAAGTTATGTGGGTACATGAGATTTAATGAGAACAGATTTTATTATAAAAACTTGCTAAAAAAACAAACAAATATCCATTGCTTTTTAGAGCAGAAAATGGACTCTTCTCTGCATTTGCATTGCTTCTTGTTTAAGAAAGATAACGCTGCCCTATTATTTTTTTCCTAACAAGAAAAATAATATATTGAACATTTTATGTCTTTATCCTAACTCCACATTTTCTACTGATTATGCTCTATCAACATACTCAAGTAAAACAAAAACAAACTGGCACTCTGGTATACTCTATGAAAAGCAGATTTTATTAGCAGTAAGCACATTTTAAATGTATAGCATATCATTTTCACTTGAGGTTCTTCAACTGTGATCTGAAAATAATTGTTTTGGTAAGAGTTATATCAGAAACTTTCATCATTCTCTTATTATATATTCATTATTCATTTATAGGAAGAGTGTTTTTATTTTCCTTGTTCTGTGGAAGAGGGTAAAAGCTT